AGAACTCATACATTTTCTCTTATACAGATATGTTGATGGAGAGAGATTTTCAGAAACAAATTATATTTAAGTTTCTATTTCTATTGCACTGGTCAAATGATTTGATTGGAATCTTTTTTTGTGTGTTAAATTCTTTTATAGGAAAGTAATTACATCATCCACTTTAAGTAAATGTAAGTTCAGTTATTTAGTATTGAGCTTTGCTTCTAACAATATATACTGACACATTGTTGAGCTTATGAAAAGAAAGTTTAGATCCATACTATATTCAGGATCTAAGATCATTACATGGATATAATCCAGGAAAGAAAAATAAAATGAAACTACAGAGATTGTATTCACATGACACTCTAAAAATACAATCTAAACCGGGCTCCATGGCTCAGCCTGTAATCCCAGCACTTTGGGAGGCTGAGGTGAGTGGATTGCTTGAGCCCATGAGTTCAAGACCTGCCTGGGCAACTTGGCGAGACCACATCTCTACAACAAATCAAAAAAATTAGCCGGACGTGGTAGCGTGCGCCTGTAGTTCCAGCTACTTGGAAGGCTGAGGCGGAAGGATCGTCGGAGCCCAGCAGGTGAAGACCGCGGTGACCGGGAACGGCCACTGCACTCCAGTCTGGGTGACAGAGTGAGACTCCAATTAAAAAAAAAAATACAATCTAGTATTTTATACTGCTATTTTAATTCCAACCATCTGAATGAAAGAGCAGTGAAGAAAGAGATGGGAGTCTATAGATGGCTATGAGAATGTAAAAGAACTTGCAGGAAAAAAAAAAAGAGGGAGGAATCATCTTCCCTATATCTGGGAATTGGTAGTTATATTTATTTGTCTTTCTTCTTGATGAAAACAAATAGTTTGAGATTCAGCCCCTGGGTATTCCTATACTTACCACTCAAGTTTCTAGGGGGTTCTATGATTACATGGAGTACCTTAAGTTCCTCTGACCAAGGTGTGCCTCATCCTTCTTGTGGTCAGATCAGCTAGTTTGTGATGAACTTGAATATATTCCAGCTACAAATGTTGGTGATTTTCCAGGGTCCGGACAGCAAGTCTTTTATTTCAAAGTTATTTTATAGGAAATGAAGCATCTGTTTGAAATCAGATTGTTTCACTTTATTAGGATTTACAGCAGATATCACACAAATTGTGTTCACTTTTTATACTTTGTAGAAAAAAGACTGCCTCCTTTTCAGGCGTGATGAGGTGGATAGACAACAGTTTTTCATTCACTTGTTATTTGAGTGCACGCAGAGTATGCTGAGGTTATTCTGAGATCAAGATACTTTGTGGTTGGAAAGGGATAATCTATTTCCTATTTCATTTTAAACATGCCAATAACTTTGTTACATAAGGAAGACGTGGGGCATATAAAACTCCATAGAATTCTTCTGGGGGGCTGTTTTTATGGCTGATATAAAAGTGCCATGTTCTAATTTCGGAGACTTTCTTGCTTGACATTGACAATAGCATTGCATTAACATCCCAGCATAACACAAGTTTCTCCCCTTTGTTTATCTAATTACCGATAGTAATGAAAGCTTCCTTTACTCCACCAGATTCCTTTGGTGGAAAATGAGGGATAGATATTATTCACATTGACCTGGGACAGAACTAGCTTCATGGGCAAGCAAATGGTGCAATCAGTCACACAGTGCTCCATATCAGAAGGGCATCATACTGTTTAATGTTCTGCTATCGTCATTTTGAAACTTTTCATTTATGAACAAGAGGTCCTGCATTTTCTTTCTGTACTGAGCGCTAGAAATTATTTTGCTGGGCCTGAGTAGGCAATACTTGTTCTTCTTGGCTGTGATGCTCTGCCCTTGGCCTCCAATTGTACTCTGTTAATGCAAACAATCTCTCTGAAATCAGAGAAATATGCATCTTTTTAAAAAACTAGATATTTTAAAAATTAACCAAAAAACTTTCGTATAGTAGGCTTATGATTTATTGCTTTCTTAATAAACTAAGAAAAGTTTCTAAGTAGATTTTCAGTCAGGCAATTTGGTGGGTTTGTTGTTATTTGCATTCATTTTAAGCTAATGGATTCAAAATTAGTAGTGTTGGTTTTATGTGTTTTTTTTAAAAAAAGGCAATGCAGTACGCTACTTGGCTTTTTTTTAAAGTATTTTTTTTAAGTATGATTTGGGAAGAGTGTAAATTGAAATGTGTTTTCTCATTTTTATCTTGTATAGCAAGCTGATTTTTGACCAATTCTGAGACATCTACCTATGTTATGTTATGTTATGTCATGTTATGTCATGTTATGTTATGTTATGTTAATTGAAACATTAGCTACAAATCCTGTTGTTCTTAAGTACAAAATTTCACCTGGGACTATAGAGAATTTAAAAAGTATGACATTTAAAATTAGACCTATCTGTACCACAGTGCTATTAATGACTTTTGGATACAGTTCCTGCTTTTTTGGAGCCACCTAATATGTTCAGTCTTACTGCCGTCCCAGGGTTTTTTTTTTGTGGTTCCCTGGTAAATGGAATTTCTCTTTTCCTTAAGTCCTTGGAGAACTGAAGAGTGTTTGCTCACTGGCTTTTAAAGCGAGGTTCCAAAACTTTGCATATAAGTTGAGGGGGAAAAAAATCAAAGAGCCCATGTTTATTTGCTCTCATCCACACCTACAATTAGCTGAAGTTCCTTCTGTGGAGCTAGGAAGAGGAGGAAGGGGTGACCTACCAGGCATTTACTATCTGCAAGAAAGTGCTGCTCAGTGTTTCTTTGTCCTTTTTGTCAGGGACGACTGCCTCCCTAATTGTACTGCTGTAGGGAAGCACGTGCCTTTGGGAGCATTATCTGATTCCTACAGGACCTTCAAGAGTGCTTTGTATACTGACCCTTAACTTGAACACAAATAATATCTTTTCAATCCCCATCCCAGGCTGTTGCCTCAGGCTTGGATACCTAAGAGCTTTAGGTCAGCCAGGGGTGTGGAGCGTCTGTACGGGCCTCAGGTTTTATTTATTTATTTTTTTTCTCCCCGGGGTTGTCTTACCTGCAGTCTTGCCACACCTGCCAGGAGAGGAAACTGAAGATGGAGGATAGGCGAGGGACGGGAGCTATAGAAGTCAGAGGGGAGAGAAGGCGAGACAAACAGCTGCTCTTGTCAGCATGGGGATAAGTGTAAAGAGATTAATAGTTATTTGAAGAGCAAATGGGGACGTGGCATTCGGCAGCGGAATGTGAATGCTTGAATGTAATGGAATGGGCATGCAACCATTAACATTTAGACAGATGCTCTCTGGACTGAATGGAATGGCAGAGTCCATTTCTCCTTCCCATATGAATAAAATTAAAGTTTAATAAAATAACTTTATTAAACTTCAAATTAAAAGATAAAAACCAAGCCCAGTCCCTATTTCTTTGTAAGCTTATTATTCTCCATACTTTTATTTAGTCTGAATCTCTTAGAATTATATTTCAGTTGAAGAGCCAGACACATTTCCTTTATAAAATATGTACCAACAGGATTGCCTTTTTCTTTTGGCTTTTAATTTTTTCTTCCATCATCAGCTTGTTGAAACAATAAGATTTTCGTATGTCAGAGAGTTTCAAAGGGAAAACTATAGCATAGGCTAGTTGCCCCTTCTGGAAATATTTTTGACTGAGGTTTAGGAATAACTATAAGACGATGTATCTGATCAGATTGACAGTTGTGATGGCATGGGCAGAACCCTAGACCAAGAACCAGAAAATTTAGTTTCATAATCTCTACTCTGCCAACTAGCCGATACTAGGGCAAATCACTTCACCTCTTTGATAGTAATACCGTAAAGTTGTTTTGCAGATTATTATGGGAAGAAATTCATTCATTCTTTCCATAAACATGTTATTGGTACTTATTCTTTGCTTGGACCCATTCATATAGAAGACATAAAAACATCTGGCAGAGGGAACTATATCAGTTAATGTACTTTTTAATTATATCAAGCATAAAATGTTATTCCTAACTAAATGGCATTTCTCTTACACATGTTCTACTCTAGAAAAGAATAAACTGTGAAGAAAAGGAAAGAACAGATTTTTAAAAAATAAACCATGTTTGGGTAATATACCAGCAGGTTACCTTTTAAAATATATAGTTTGGTCTCCTTAATCCCATGCCCCTCCAAACTTTGTGAAACTAGTCCCTGGGGAATGAGAAGTAAGTACACTTTTGGTACGCTGGGACATAATTTAGAATCATAAGAATAAGAGAAAATGTAAAGATCATCTGATTTTGTCCCAATTGTAAAAATTCACTGCTTCAATTCCCCCCTAGAAGATACCCATCGAATGGTCTTTCTCATTCTGAACACCATCCCCTATCCCCACAGGGCAATAACAGGTAGCATTCATTTATTCTAAAGACTTTTCTTTCTTTTTTTTTTTTGAGTTGAAGTCTCACTCCGTCGCCCAGACTGTAGTGCAGTGGCACGCTCCCGGCCACTGCAGCCTTGACCTGCTGGGCTCCGGCGATCCTTCTGCCTCAGCCTTCCAAGTAGCTGGAACTGCAGGCATGCGCTACCACGCCCGGCTAATTTTTGATTTGTTGTAGAGATGAGGTCTCGCCAAGTTGCCTGGGTGGGTCTCGAACCCGCGGACTCAGGCAATCCACTCGCCTCGGCCTCCCAAAGTGCTGGGATTACAGGCTGAGCCACCAAGCCCGGCCTTAAAGACTTTTCTAAGTAACTGCTGAGCCTGGACACTGTTTGCCTCGTTTGTAAATGAGTCTATATATACTACTTTCAAATACTCTTGGGAAAACGGCACCTAAGAACTGTGTGATCTATGAAGGTCTTTATAAAACACTCACACCTCGGACTGCTCCTGGTGTGTCTGGTCTGTGTATTGCAAATCGGTGACTTTCCTTCGAGTCTCAAGTGTTGTGGACCTGAGGTCGATCTCTGTAGGTGCGTGCCTCAAATAAGGCCTTTCTTGGCGCAAGGATCGGATCTGAGGCTTAAATGGCTAACATCAAGGTTTCTGGGTATCCTTGCAGCCACAGTACACGAACCTGGGGCTCCTGAACAGCATGGACCAGCAGATTCAGAACGGCTCGTCGTCCACCAGCCCCTACAACACAGATCACGCACAGAACAGCGTCACGGCGCCCTCGCCCTATGCGCAACCCAGCTCCACCTTTGACGCCCTCTCGCCCTCGCCCGCCATCCCCTCCAACACCGACTACCCGGGCCCACACAGCTTCGACGTGTCTTTCCAGCAGTCGAGCACCGCCAAGTCTGCCACCTGGACGGTAAGAGCACCGGGCACCTGCATGCCATTAAATCTGACCCCAGAACAAGGATTGTCTTTATCACATCCCAGGAATTTCTCCCTCTTCCGAGTTTAGAGATTCCACATTTGACGGTGGAAATTTTGCCATTGAATATTTAACAATGAACCCGAGAGAGAAGAAGTACCAGTCGGTGCGAAAAGACCCAATCTGGGAACCAAACGCGTTCTAGCCAGCTTCTAGCAGTTTCCTAGTCAAGGTGTCCCTGACTGCTTCATACTGTTGTGAAGTCCGCTGTGTGAAAGTTTATGGCAAAATAAAAAGCATTATGCCAACGAGAAGTATCATAATCACAGGATATGTGTTTATAGGCTGCAGGATGTTAGGTAATATTTACTAGTCTCAGGATTGTGAAGACATAAATATCAGAATGAGATATGACTTCTAAAAATGGGTAAAATAATACAGTGTGCTAAAAATTAAGAAAATAAAATTAAAGAAGGACAAACACACTTCTACATGTAGTATCAATAAGCTATACTCTAAAGTTTATCAGTAAATTATAGCTTATTGGTATGTATATATGTATTAACTTTATAAACACTTCCTCCTCAAAAAAGCCTCTAAAACAAATACACATCAGGGCCTGATTTAATCCAAAGAGATCTTGATTTAAAATGTTTTTAAACAGTTTTCTGTATATAACTCTCCTAAGAAAGGATGCAAAATTTTCCCCCCAAATTAAAAAGGTATACAAATATTTATTTTATTACAAATTTTATTTTGTAATCTATTAAAACAGGAAAAACTTCAGGTATAAGAGGGAAAACCTACAAAGCCGGTTTTAACTGGTTGGTCAAAGAATGCACAAGACCAAAATGGCATGCATGTTTGTCAAACAATTTAAAGTTTGCATAGATTTATAGAGATGCTTTCAAATATCATTATCTAATTGGAAAGTAGTGTTGGAACTCTTTAAACAGTTTTTTCCTCTTTGGTAAATAAGTTTCTTTGGAAAACAATTCTGTTTTTTATGATATATGTACATGTGTGTACATATATATACACACACACGTCTAGTCCACTATAATCTTTAGTCCAGTTGTACAGTTTGTCAAATGATCTGTGTTCATAACACTTATTACATTCTAACATAATTTCACATTTAGTCCCTCATTTTGGCCTCACTTCTTTGTGAAGTAGGTAGAATACTATCCTAGTGAGGAAAGCTCAAGAACATGGAGTTAAGTGGCATGCCTGGAGTTTCAGCAGCTTTTGTGTAGCTGGATCTATTTCTGATTTCTGTTTTCCCCTGCTGGATTGTGTCCTTTCTGTTTCTTCCATTTCACATCAGGATTCCCAAAAGTTATCTAAAAATGTGTATTATCTCAGTTCTTTCATTTCATAGTATGAGAAGTGATTCTGTCATGGCTCACATTTCAACCAGAAAGCATAAAGCATAAGCTTGAAACATGAACTCTCATCCATGTGTTACTGATCAATTGTATCATAATCTTTAGTTTCTTTTATATTTATATTCCTGAAGATAGATACTGCAGGTGAGTAAACTAAGTTTATAGGCCTCAAATAGTTGATTTCTTGATCTAAGGAATATCCGGAATAACCATTTTATAAATGGAGCACAGATGTGTCTTAGGATATGGTCACCAGTTGTACATTTGTAATCACTGATTGTCAGAGACAATGAGGTACTTGTTTAGTTTACTCTGCTGCTACATGTAGGAAAATTTTACCAATGTACTCCACCAAAATATCTTCTTTTTAACTTAACATTTAGGTAGAGATCTCCAACCTAAACAAATTACTTGCTTGGTTTACTCAGTTAGGGCTGCACTATATTATGAGTGGGCATGGCTAAAGGGATGTCATGGGCATATTGGAGCTGCCAAATGAGTAGTTGCTTTTTCCCTTCTAAAATCGTTTAAGAACCATGGCGATGAAGCTGGATGTAAATACAACATCAGATCAGTCCTCCTTCCCCATCCCTACCTTAACTACTTCCTCCTATCAAAATCTTAAGGTTATTTTCACATTTAGCACCACTCTAAAGCACCCTCACTCAAAGCCCCTGTTTCAGAGATGGAAGTTGTCTTCCCAGTAAAGTTTGACTGTCTCTACATAAATGGTAAGTTAAAAAGAAAAAATATTTTGGTGAAAGACACTGGTAAAAATTCCTTACATGTGACAGTGGGAATATCAGTATCCTAGAAGAAAGTGGCAGTCACTATAGTGATGAAAAAGAACGTTGGTTGAGAGCCAGAAATCCTGGATTCTAGTCTTGATCATCTATATGACCTTAGTTAAGTCATGTCATCTTTCTAGAATTCAGGGTATGCCTCTGGTGAGGATGAGGATGGTGAAGCCTACTCTGTTTTCTTAAGGTGAGATTATAGTACTGATAGTCAGCTTAGAAAGTTTTTTACTAGGACTTAGGTTTTTGCTTCTCTTGGACTTTTGTTCAGTTGTCTATGGTCTACTCTGTAGATTTTACAGAAAAAGGATCTTACTTATGTATCACATTTTTTTTTTTTTTTTTTATTTTGAGTTGGAGTCTCACTCTGTCACTCAGACTGGAGTGCAGTGTCCGCT